ACAGGTTAACACTTGAAATAACAAGGTCGTGAGTTGGAATAGATCGGTCAATCTGGTAATCGACTATAGGCTGGAAGACTGAGGATCGATTCCAGATAGGGGTAGGGTTTTTTATAATTAACTTCACGCACAGACGCTCTTGCCTGCAAACAGGGGAACTAAATCGTGGAGTCGAGCTCGCCTCTACACACTGACTACTTAAGGATGCGTCAAAATATTCGCTATATTCTGTCTTCTATTCGTTCTCATGATACTGTTCACCATTAAGCAAATATAGAAATCTCGCATTAACCATTACCGTTCGTATACTTGTTTAAAGTAAATGAAATTAATTTTGAAACATTTTTAATCTACTTTAAGAAAGGGTACATCCATTTTGCCGTTTACGCCATGTTTTGTTTCAACCTCTTAATTTATTAATATCTCCGATCAAATTTAAAATGATTCTGGGATTTTCGTTAGACCTGTAGCTAGGGTCTGTAAATGGCAAATTCTTGACTCTTCATGAAGAAATTTCAGATGTGTATACAGAATTATAAACTAGCATGTCCCTCAGAATTAATTGCACTGAAGAATTCGTTCAAAAGTACAGTTGACATTCTCTGTTTATGTAATATATAATTTTGTATTTATTTATTACAATTTCCCGAAATAGATGAGCGATTGGACATTTTCGAGTAGCATCTTGTTCAACGTATTTCTACCACTTATTGATTGTGAATTTTATTAGTTTTGGAGTCAATGACATCCAACATCATCACGAACGAGCAACGTCCGACGGGACTAGAACGAACAAGATGATTTATGCAGTGAAATATGACAAGTTCAGCTTTTCGATCACGTTTATAGTTTGGGTAAAAATATTACCGGCTGTACCTCTGGGATAGAAGCTGGAGGAACATCTTTTGAACAGTCACTACTACCATCTTCTAAAACATCGAGCACAAAGCACTACAACCCTAACCATGGTTTTAACTCATACCATTCTCGACTAACTGACCGTTTCGGTCCCTCATATTCAACGCTTTTGGTTGGAGTCGGTGCTGGGGTCAGAAGTATGATTATTTTGGTTCTGACGCTCATGTTTGTACGGTGATAATAAAGGCCTTCTTGTTAGTTGAGCCGATTAAGTCAAGAGCCATAGGCCTACACTGAAACTTGCTTGAATTTATATTATACCACTTGACAATTTACTAGAGAATTCTTGCTATCATTGAGTTCAGAATTTTTCATCTTCGCGTCTTATATTTTAAGCGTAAATATAAACGCACCAAACTGTAATCGTACCTGATGTTTATATTGTCTCTCGCTCTAGGAAACAAAATACATTTAGAGCACCTGAGAAAAGGTCGTTGATAATACTTCTACCTAAAAATAAGAAAGCAAAAGATGTACGGAAAAATTTGCATAAAAAGCACATTCATAATTTTTAGTTCTCCTCTTCAACAAACATTATTGCGGCAATCAGATCAAGAAAATCAAGATTCAAATGGCTTAAGGAACTGTCTAATTGAAGGTTCTTTGTGAGCCATACAAGACGGGGAAGTTCTTAACTGATAATTATTAGTATCATTCTGTAACATTTTATTCCTATAGTTAAGTGCTCGATAAAGCAGTTTGCATCGAGGTAATGCGAGTGAGACATTCATGTTTGCAGATCATATGTCTGTCTTACTATATCCTTGTTCTCTATGAAGTGTCTGCGAATTTGACGGCATATAATTACTTGAAATTAGGAGCTAAGCACAGCGCTGTAATTTGGAAAATGTCAGGGGCAAGACAAAGGCGAGACAGACGTGGAAAAATGAAACTATGAGCTAACGTATGTTTACAATAGGAACATTACTGCAGCCAAGTCAGCTTTTACGCCTCTGGGACTCATTTCAAACTTGTCGTTCTCCATAGCATTTGGTATCAGGCCAGATCTAGGTCCCTCAAAGCGTGGGATTTCCCTCGACCCTAAAAGCTTCCTTTTCCTATAACTCCTTGCCGTCTTCTTTTCGCTACTAACCCCTTCCTCCGACAAATGGAGTTCTAATCCCACACGGATTGGCTAGGGGATTAGACGCTTTGATCCTCCTAACGCCTTCCTTGCTATCACGGGACGCTCGCAAGAAACCAGCACGCAGCGGATGTCGACAGAAAGAGGCTGCACCAACCACAATTCTATCTCAGTTCGGACAAATTCCATTGGCAGTAAATTGTGTTAGTTATGATATGCCCGGCCTTCATTAGAATAACATTTCTATCATAAGATCCAGCCACTGTCCTATTTGGAGCCAGTCGAAACTAATCCTCAGCATAATTCAAAGTTCTTTAAAATGAATTACCTTCCCATCCTCGTCTAGGTTCTTTAAACTTAGTTTTTAACATCAAAATTTGTGAACATTTCTCATCTCAGCCATATGTGTTCTATGCCCCATTCATATCATTCTCCATTTATCTGACAACCCTAATAATATTCAATGAAGATTATGAATAAATTATAAAAATCCGCGTTTAACTTTTATCTTCCTTCTGCTACTTTCTCTAAATTCCATATTAGAGCCCTTGCTTTATATTCAGGAAGTCTCCAGTTAAATTCTTGGCCCGGAGAAAAACAATACTGACTGATTTTCTTCAGACCTTCCAGGCAAAAGAAGTCTGGAGAGTATCTGAAATTAGGCCACGGCCGCTTCCATTCCCATGTTTTATAATTTAATATTCATTAGTCGTCCTATAATTCGACGCCACAGTCTGAGATGTTCACAACGCCGTTAAAGAACCATAAATACACAAATAATTGAATAATGCTCTAATGGAAGTTCTGCAATGTAATAACAGTAAAATGTATAATAATGAACGTAACCTCACCAGAGATTTGACTGATTTTAAATTTGTAGAACTATCGGACGTGGTCCTTCCTCGTTATAGATATGGACATGGATATGCTTTCCCTTAGACCGATTCGGAAGTGGTCCTTTAATCTGTCTTAACAGCATGCAGGCACAGTGCGAAAATAAAATTTTCGCAGCGCCAGACTCAAGTATTTTAATTTATATCTCCAAAGAATATACAGGCCTCGCTGATTATTATGATCCAGAAGTATTTCTAAGTAGAATTTTCTGATATTAAATTGCACAAAATGTATTTAAATTATATGACACAAAGTGTTCTTAAATGGGCGGGAAGTGAATAAAATGATAATTACTTTTTTTTATAAAGGCAATCCATTAATGGAATTACATTGATTCTGATTACGTTTTTAAAAATGTTTATATTAATTTAAAACTAAATTTTATGTCGTCGCATTCCACGTCCATAAATACACAAATTAAACGTGCAAATTCAGTTTTCGATAAAGAACCGTGTCGAATGTTGAATATTATCCAACGATTCGGAAAACATAGCATTTATCAACTTCGTGGTTAATATATAGAGGCTGGGCGTTTCTGGAATCCGTATATAGGTCAGCCAGCAGGTGGCGAGCTGAATTTGTTGGTGCTGATTGGGTGGAGCGGAAGAGCATGTTGCTGCCCAATTAACTAAATGCAACACGTCAGAATCAGTTATATTAATCCTAACTTAAGTACGATAAATGTAAACTGGTGACATATTTTAAGTAACACCCTGTTCCAAAAGCCTACATTACAAGTTTCTTTAAGTTTAGTATCCTTACATTGGCAAAAACTGAAGAAGTGGGGAAAACACGAGGTCAAAGAAAGTTATTACAAGTTTCTTTAAGTTTAGTATCCTAACATTGGCAAAAACTGAAGAAATGAAAAAAAACACGAGGTCAAAGAAAGTTACAAAATGAGAGCTTCAAAATTTCCAAAAAATATTACAATATTAGGGTTATCAAATCATGGAAGTTACGCTGGCCAGGTAGCATAAGCGAAAAGTGACAAATTTTAGTCGGAAAAATCTGCATAAACGTTGCCATTTGAATATTAAAGAGTTTTAACAGTAAACCGTAACCACAGAGCAGTCATTATTTTCACATTTGCCCCTTTGTTTCTTATGGTAATGTGTGTAAGTGCCACGTCCCACATCTGTGTTTCTCCGAAATAGAGCTTGGCTGTCTTCACAACTCGGCAGCTATAAAACCATTCTCCACTTTTTGTAAAGTATACCAGTCTCTAGGGGAGTGTCGTCTTTTCTCGGTAAAACCTGATAGTCTTTTCAAGTGTCCCTCTTCGGGGCCAAGTCAGTGCCTGAAAGGTACGTGCTCTCTGAACGCGCAATGACGTGAAGTCTCTTAACATTTCACCACAAATTTCTGAGTCTCTGATCAGTACACTGGCCACGGGCAAAAAAGTATGGGCATGCAGCTGTTTCTTTCAAATGCAGTAAACAGGGGGTTAGGATCGTGGTACGGAATATAAAGTTGTATACTGTGTGTTTATTTGAACAGCAGTAAACGCCCTTCAACATCGGCGTACAGAAGAAGATAAGTTTATCTGATGTATTATATACGTCCAGTATCAGGAACTTTATCTGAAGAAACCCTGATTACAATTTGTAATCCTAAATAAATGTCACAATTTTTTTCTGTTTCGTGCATTACAATAAAACTAGTACGATATATCAATAATATAAAAGTTAATTTATTAGGATTATCTAATCCTTAAATTATTTAATTATCCACAGAAAAGTACCGGAATTAAACAAAATAAGTCCTCCTTTAATCAGTCTACAAACTATGTTATGCCTATATACTATACTCATAATGATAAATACTTTTATTTTCAATCGTAATGTGTAGTTTTTTTTCCAAAAACCAGTTAAAAGAACTGTCAATTAACGAAATAATATGCATAATAATGCATATAAATGCTTAACTGAACTAGAAGCTACTAAGAAGGCAGGTCTAGAAATAAAAGCATAGATAACTAGGAGTTCGTTCGTGTCTCTTCACCACAACAAAATCATAGTACATAGTTAACAGTTTGTAAATCCTTCAAGAATTTGTGAAGGTTTAAACATGTATGAAAACTGTAACAAATCAAAATTATACTCACATAGACGCCAGGAGTGGATTTAATTCAAGGAATGCTTCCTCCCATTCAGTTCAGAGGCCTTGGCTCCAATCCTCTTCGATAGCCTGAAAATATAAAAAATGATAATAATGCCTATCCTTTTAAAAGCGCTTAAAATATGAACTTCGCCATAAGGAAAGAACGGAGATTGAAGTAATCTGATAACAAAGTGCTTAGAAGTGTATTTGGACCTGTTAGAGAAAAAATACTAAGGAAAGAACGGAGATTGAAGTAATCCAATAACAAAGTGCTTAGAAGGGTATTTGGACCTGTTAGAGAAAAAATACCATGTGGACACGAGAACAAATAATGAGTAGCTTCGTAAAATATGTTCTTCATAGAATATCATAAGAGTTTTGATATCAAGAAGGAAGAGACGGTAGGGCATACAGCATTATAGTCTGAAAATCTGAAGCGGAAAATACCTTTTTAGATGGTCAAGCTGCAGTTAGAAAGAAAATCTTAAGTATAATCCCAAAGAAACTGAATTTGGTTCATCTTTCATCACGATAAAAACTAGATTCGTTATTTTGTGAACAAAGCAATATATTTTCAGGTTCGATAAGAGTTTTAAATTTTCTTGATCAGTTGAGCGATAATCAACTTTTCAAGAAAGGTTCTGCTCCACGTAATGAGTCAGTTTTCCTCCGTTCTCGTTTACTAAAGAGTCCTGCGCCGTAATGAGTCAGTTTTCCTCCGTTCTCTTTTACTAAGAGTCCTGCGTGTTAAATTTTCTAAAACTGTTAACAATGAAGAGTTTCACATCCCTTACAGACTATTAAAATGATAATAGGAGTCGTAACACTTCTTGAGTTTAAAATATTTAAGTTTCGTGATCAGAGGACCTCCATCTACGTAACTGTTAGTAGTAGTATCGCCATGTATACGGTATACGTTCATGAAAAGGGGACAAAACTTCTTCCTCGTATAATTCCACTTTCAGCCTGGGAGTTATCTACTCCAGCAAGTCATAAAGTTTGCAAATAAACTGTAAGCTACTGTGTGAGTTTGCTAGTAATTAACATTGTACACAGAAGTTCGATCTTACTGCAGATTCTCACTCCGAAAAGATTTCTTCACAAGAAGTTATATTCCACGCGCCATCTATGAGAAATTCCCAAGCGCGAAGTCCCTGTGTGGCCATACGTTGTCAAGTACATTAATAATACGTCTTTGGTGATCAGATGGAAGGTCTTAAGTGACTTATGCTGACTTAAACCCTTCTTATGGAGCAGCAAAGAACAGGCATGCAATCTTAAAATATCAATAAATGGGAAATGGAACAAACCTCCATATTATATCAACTTCGGCATTAGGTTTACCCCCGGGATAAGAACCCCCCGATAACCATGGACATGTATATGATGTTTATTACTATTATCTTAGTGAGAGCAAAGATCACTGGCTATGTCACCGTTTAGAATGCTGTTGGTGTGAACAAAGGAAACTAAATTAAATATTTACATTATATCTGTCGCAACGGGCAAAAATGTGAATTATATTTCAAATGCGTTACATAATAAGTCGTACATTTCTCAAAACCTTGTTAACGAGTGGCGTGTGTCTGTTCTTCTGTGTCTCTCTGTTAGTCAATGGATTTAATTACATAATTACTAAACAATTTAATTTGTTAATTAATAGGCAAGTATAAATAGCACGTCATTATATTCGACCTCTTCTTGGTATTAATATTAAACTTACTGTCATTAATAATTACAAAATGACATAGTGCAATTTATGACTTGGAAAAACACTAATAACAGCCAATGTCAGTTCATCATTGCTTGTATGGAGGCAGAGTTTCATGAAAAGCTAATTATGGTAAAAGTTAGATAGATAATAAAACTACATGGTAACTACCCAAACATTTGCTTTCATATCTGAAACTTCTGGATCAATTCAAAACATAATGTGATTCTCAAAATATACTCGTGGAATAACTTCATGATTTGTTTTAATTAAGACCCTTCTTAATAAGGACTGCTTATATATATGCCTTTAAAGTCTGTATAGCACAATCAGTAAAATCATTTTACTGAAATTGATTAAGTAACTTTAGATAATAAAACACATACAAGCAATTAAAAATCCCACAGTGTTATATCTGTCACTTAGTAATGGTTACTGCATTGATACTGAAGTTAGTTAACAAACGTATATACAATATTTGAATGTTTAAAAATATATATTAAAATGAAATTATTTTTATATAATTGCTTGAAAACTGAATTGGAATGACGAAGAATAAAATGTACAGAATGTCAAATCTGTTTAAAATTAGACATATCAAGATATTTTTGGAATAAAATAGGTCTATTTTCCTTCAGGTATGATGGGATTAAATGGTTTATCTCTTTTAATAAAAAACAAAACAGAGCTGACAATGTCCTTTTGGGTTTTGGCGCCGTGTGGACTGGCCGGCAGATGCCAACATTTCAGAGATGTGTACTGTCTCCATCTTCAACATAACAGTCTTGCACGAGAATTACATGACCAAGCCCGTAGATCTAAAGCCTTGGAAACACTTTGCCTGTAGCCTTACCTGACCCCCTCATTCTTTCTTCCCAATTAAATTCCTCTTTCAAATCTACTTCTTCGATACTCCACTTTAGTCCCAACCTCTTCTACTGAGAATGTACAGAGCACATCTTTATTCATTAATCTAATATGTCTGACTTACATATTTTAAGCAAGTAGAGCATATCGCTCTCCGATTCTAACGAGATTCCTCTGAAAGTTGGTTGATCTCTCGTGAGGAATAAGAAACCCGAATTGTGTCATTTATGTCCCAAAACGTTCTTGGATTTCATTTCGACGTACTCCTAGAAATAATTTAATTATTTCCTTAAATTCTACTCGCGACTTAAATTTCAAGTAAATTTAAAATCACGAATTCAAGATATAAGTCCAATACTTACACCATTAAATCTCAATGGTGAACTATATGTCCCACCTGCTTGAACAATCAATAATTATTCATTTTGTGTAAATGGATTTCGTATGATTGTCACTGTAAAGAGGGGTTATTTCTTTGAACAACATTAGCCAGGAGATCTTTGTATTGTACAACTGTCGTGTTTTCTTTTTGGGGAAAAAAATTAATTCTTAAATATTATTTACACAAGCTTCGTCTTCAAAGTATTAAACCTTCTATTTTGTATCCCCAGTTTATTTTTAGATAATTATGTAATAACTCGCCTTTCTAAATAAGTTTTCTTCTTTATATGTCACAATTCAGAAGCTCCGACTTCTGATTCAAAATTAATTCTGAGACTATGAGTTCTTACATTTTGTAGGCCGCATGATATTAAAGTATACTGTGTCTACTTGTGTTGCTGACATTTAACGCTGAGCGCTACCCTCAATTGATCAACTGCGAAGAGCTAAGTGGACCCGACAGAACAGGAGAATTGAATTGAGCCATCAGAAGAGGGAAGGTTGGTCCCCTCATTGAGTTAGTGCACACCTCAGAGGGGCTGCCGGTCTCGAAGGGACGTGATACGACCACACAATGTGTACAGTGGACAGAACACACTTAACCTGCACCTGAAACTTGCAAACATTAAAGGGACCACACCACCGATCTTCGCTTTGAAGCACACATATTTAATTAGCATTCCGAAAATCTAAATGGAAGAGACAACTTCAGAGACCTAGGCATAAAATTCGATTATATTAAAACGGACCTTATAGACATTTCTAACACCTGGTATTCTTAACGTTGGAGAATTATGAATTATGACTATGGAGTGACAGATATATCCAAAGGTGTAAAGTCATTTAAATTTATTTAAGTCAATTTGCTTCAAATATATCAGATTTTCTTTGCTGAAGATGTTTCAAAGCGCATACGAATTACAAAACATAGTTGTCATCAGTTTCGTGAGATTTTCCAGCTCTGATAATCGCGTTTGATACTCAATCTTTGTTGAAAAAAGTAGTAGCAAACTACGACCATTTGTACTAGTCACTAATAAAATAAAATTGTTGACATGTAATGTTTTTACCAAAAACTTGCTACGATGTAGACCCAAAATGTATAGGCCACGTCTTATTTCCAAATTAGTGGACAGGTGGGCCCTTTCCTAAGGGACAAAGCAGATGGAAGCTGACCGTTCCCTTGATGTAGTGCACAGGCTTCGAATGCGTGGAACTCCATCTCCACGCCACTACACATCTTCATGTTATGACGCTCAAGCACGTGGAGCCATTTATCTCAGAGACACCACGTGGAACGTCTGGGCGTAAATTAAAGGATAATACTAAAATGAAGCAGAAGTGGGTTGTAAGGTTGTGGACTGGTTTCAAATAACTGAAATCAGGGATTAGTGGTGGAAATTAATAAGACCAGAAAAGGACATTTGGACATTTTGGGTTCTTTAAAGGCGGGAAATTTCTTGATAAGATAAACTATTGTCAGCTTCCCAGTTCTATCTCTCTCCATGTTGTTATGTGTTTTCCCTGTCAAATCACGTAATGTCGTATGGAACAAGAAAAATTGTTCGTTTACGTGGGCCTATGTTTTAATAAAAAGGGTCTGGTGGTCTCTGGGAAAATTACTATCTTCCGTGTTGGGACCGACCCGAACCAGAGCCAGCAAGGATTATTCTGCTTCCCTTTCCGTTCCTTCCCACCTGACAAAGTCAAGTTGAAATTTTGTTCTCTCTTCCACACCAAAACCAGGACTCATTAAGCTTCTTTATGTCAAAAATATAAATCCTCAACAATTATATTGAATTCCTAGGCAATCTAAGATAATTATATAGGCATATTCCTGAACCTTGTGTAATAAAAACATTACACTTAATTCAAATAATGTTCTTAAAATAAATATCAACATCATTCCAATTTCGATGTTAAACTTTAGAGATAGATTTGTAATCAATGACGAGGCAAAATGAGTATGAACAGCAGGAAAGGATTTCGTTCCATTCGTTCGTAAAGCTTCAGACGATACAGAATTAACTACAGTCCTACGCGTTCTGCTGTATGTGTACAATTTGTTTGCTAACAACTTCGTATACTCAGAGGGATGAGTATGTATCGTGGTCGCATGGCAACCCCG